TAAAAAATGGTACCAAATTTATCTTGCCAGCTCAATTAGCAACCGAGTTATGACCATTCAAAATTTATTGGGTTTTCTGTCTTGAGTGTGATTGGGCCAGAAGCTCATTTTAACAGTGTATTTGTGAAGTTGCAGGTTTCAAACAAGTGAAAAATCATTATAAATGCAATGTCAGTAAGTAATAAAAGAAAGATAGTACTAATGGAATTAATAATCATTAGATAAGACCAACTTAGATGAGTGGGGAGAGAATCACATTTCACCTTAAAAACAATGCAGAAATAACATGGTGAAACAATTTTGACCATTCATATAAATTTCAATTCTACAGTTAAATCATTGAAACTTCTTAATAAAAAAAAAATTTAGCTTAATCTCTACTATGCTATGATGTTTCATAGCATAGTAGAGATTAAGCTAAATTTTTTTTCACAAGAGTACATCAGTAAAATAACTCTTATTTCACCATATAAGTATAGGCAGATGCAAAATTTGATGGTAGGACAAAAAACATACCTTCTTGAGCTGGTGGAGGTACAAGCCTGAAACTTTACTCATTTTGGGATGAGGAAGTCAACCAAATGGTTATTTTGTCTATAATATTAAAAGTTTTTCTCATAAATGAATTTGTTTTTTTTGTTTGTTTTTTTTTTTAATTTTGTAAATTTATACAATTTTTGACTTGCCCCCAAATGACTGATAACATCAAAACTTTGAAACTTATTATACAAAAGGAATCAGTGGTCAATTTTTCAAACAAATGCTTATTGTAAAGCCTTAAAACACAATTTTTAAATTTAAAAAAAAAAATTAAATGACTAAAACTACATTTATTGGAACTGATGAAAAAGACTTTCTGGGCAGTTTGAATGGTCCTACTGCTCTTCTTCCCCGAATTGTGATATGCAGTCTGATGGGCTTCTATATCCAATATTTCTGGAACATTCTAGATTCTACCATCACTTGAAACTGGTATTGCACCTAAGTCCCATCTAAAGTCAAAAGTTGACTCGACCTGTGCAATGCCATCAGAAATAATTGTTTCTAGCTAGAAACTTGATTATTGCACTAGTTGGAGATGTAATGTCAATAACTTGGCCTATGTAAAAACCCATTGAATATCATTTGATATGGTTCTTCATTATAAGCTACCAAAGTTAGTCACTGTCTTCAAGTATCTGTGATGTAATTTCAACTACAAAAAAACATCATAGGAAGAATCTAAAAAAGTTCTTATGTCATCTTTTCCTTTAGTGGCTAAAATTTTCTTGGCTGTGCTAAATGTTTGTTGCAATTGCTCCATCAATCTTGACTGTTCCATCCTTGTTTTAGGATAGTCTGCAGAACTATGCAAAAACCTGCAAGTAAAAACATATAATTCTTGTATCACAAAAGAAATAGGGGAGAAAAAGATTTTGCAAAAAAATTATTTTGTTTGTCCTGTAAACCTGTGAGCTCTTTGCCTGTTTAAGAAGTGCTTTCCTCATTTACCTCATGGTCCTTAAAACCATAAAAGTTGCAGAAGTTGGGCTATAGATGAGACCTTGCCAGAACTGCACTCAGATTGATTACTAGGTGTTACTACCAACTCATTAACCCTCCCATCTATCCAACTCTGATTTCTACATTCTTTTCATCATAGTTTTTAACTGTATCAGCAACCTTTTTGTACATTGCAAGTAATTTGGGGTCTTCTTTGCCTGTCTCTTCCACTTACAAGAAAACAATCTCTCAGAATGTTTAGTTGATCATCCACTAAACAGAAGTTTTAATATTTGCCATAAGTAAATGTAACTTTTAAAAACCTAAATCTCCAGGCATGAAAAGCACTAAAAAAAAGGAATTCCTACACATTTAGCTAATCGCCTACAAAGATGGGCAGACATCTTGTTAAATTACTCTTTCAAAATGGAGTTTTTACCATCTAAGAAAATAGCACACTTGATGATTTGTCTAGGTTAATTCCAAAAATAAGAGAACCATTAGAAGAGAGTTATTGCTTCACTGAGTTCAGAAATGGATATTAAAAATGTTCTGTATAACATAGTAAAAAAACTACCAGTTACTTTGGAAGAAATAAGGTTCAAAGCTAAATTTGATAAGTTTATTACAGAGAAAAGAATGAGATAATGGACCAGAAGAAAAATAAAGGAAATAATATTTTTTCTATATGTAACGGTATATTGTTATATGGAGATTGGGTGGTAATACCAGCAGTTTTAACAAAAAAATCTTGAAGAATTTTTATATCAGACATCCTGGTTTATCAAGAATGAAAGCTCTCATGAGGAGTTATGTCTATTGGTATAGTATGGAGAAAGAAATTGAAAATCTGGTAAAAACTTGCAAAAACCGTGCTAAAGCGCCACCTGTGAAATTCAATCTCTGGCCAAAAACTGAAAAGCCATGGCCTATCGCAAAAACAAATTCCAACAGGTACTTTGGAAATAGACCCTAAAAGCCAGAAATATGTTGTCCAGGAGGACATAAAATTTCAAAGGAGAGATGTTGTAGAGTAGCTAGCACCCCTTCAGCACTCTACCAGATGACCAGGATCATAGCCTTAAATAGTCTACAGTTGATTAATAAGTTGATACTAAGCTGATTAATATTCGGACTGATCTTACTTCGTTTGGCTATACAGCATTTGATCCTCCTGTATTGCTTGTAAGTTGTCTTGTTTTGTAACTTATTATTCTGTGTCTTTTCTATACATTGGTTAGCACTAGATGCTGGTGCGGAATAAATATATTAAGCACTCATTCTTCTCTGTGTATCATTCACCTTGACAATACAACAGTAAATTTAAATGAATCTTTCCAACATGTAGAAAGATAAGAAGTGGTTTTAATGCTAGTGTTTCCATTTAATAATCAACAGTTTTTTGTCTCTTTAAGTCTAGTTTTTTAAGCAGCAATCATCTTGACTGAAGAAACGAGTGGATTAGGGATTTTTAGATATCAAGTGGCAACAAAACTGGTGATAGGGTATACCCAGGTGCTGGATAACAGTCATGCTTGAGATTGGTTGCTCATTGAATGAGAGAACTTTTAAAATTTAATCAGTTACACTTCTACACTAGCCATAGTGTGGTGGTGTAACACCACAAGTTAGGTTTCTAGTTGCAACATAAAAAAAATACAATTATCTTCTATATTTAAATTATAAATGTTAATGAAAAAAACAAAACAAAACCTGCTATTTGCATAAAAAGGAGCACAAAAGAACCAGTTTAGCACCTAAAAAAGCTTTTAAACTGGGTTCACAGAATGGATCTACCTGGTGTGGGGGTTACATGTACAGTTAAGATAATTCTATTCTGGAAATGGTTTCAAATTGACATACCAATACAAGATATATATATAATCTGCTGTTCTATATAGAAGATGAGATGGATAAATTGTCTAATGATACCCAAACACTCTGAAATGTTCGTATTGGAGCTTCCAAGCAGTACATGTCATTTCCAAATTAACTGACCCTACTATACTGTGCAATCAACAAAATCAAAAATAAACAACACACACACGTGTGAAATTAAAAATATAAAATGTCAACAATTTACCCATCACACCCTGTATAATTATTTCTATGATACAATTCAATAATGATAAAAATACAAATTGTTATCTATGGCTGCTAAATACATACTGCCGGTTGTAACTAAAATAATCAATCAGTTAATTATTGCCATAGCTAATTGTAATTTATTGTTATTTGAAAACTGTTGTTAGCAGCACCTAATATTGGGAGAGAGTTCAGAGCTGCTTTCAAATACAGGTAAATGCATGAAAATAGATATTTGATAGTTTTATTGTTCTAATGTATAACAAACCATTTACACATTTAATATCAAGATCAATTGTTGATGCATCCATTTAACCAAATTGTTGATGCATCCATTTAACCAAATTCACAGATAAATTAATACTTTCATGTCTTGTTTTTGTTCCATATATAAAAGTTAATCTAATTATTCTATTGTTATATATTGGGTTAGTTTTGTACAAATATAAAATATTTGGTCTTGTCAATAACTCCAAACAAATGTTTGAAATTTAGATATAAAAATTAGTAATGAAAATTATTTCTTGCCTCTATAAATCATATTTGAAAAAGTACAAATTAACTTATTACCACTCTTTATAGTTGTTTTATTGTATAAGTTACATAAAAATAATTTCTATATATTTTTCCATCAAGTAGTTTTAACTTATGCAACTTTTATACTTTTAACTTTAGTTTTAACTAGTTTCATTTAACATGATCATGGAAAAAACATGTGCCATCTCAAAATACTTGATTTATACATGAATTTCCAAAGGAAACAGAATTAGTTTTTAATGTGATTTGTTGTTTTTTTTAGGCATTTATTGAACTGCTTAAGATTAATTTTGCATTTATCTCGTTTCAATGTCACTTTCAATAGAGTATCAATAACATTGTAGAATGTTAAATTTCTATATTCAAGTATTTTATAAGATTACCTTTACGATGGACTTTAAAAATGGTCTCATTGTATTTTACTATAGAAAAGCTTTAACCCTGTGTTGGTCACATGGGGTATTTTCTTACCCCCCAATTTTTAAAGTACTCATAGTTCCTAGTTGGTAACTTCTTTTTTTTTGCTCCCTCCCACTACTCTCCTGACTCAGTGGGGGGTGTAGCACACAGTGTAGTGCAGTTTATAGCTCAGTTGTCATGAAAACCAGATGGCAGGGGACTATTTTCGGAAATCCCATGTGAGTAATGCAGGGTTATATACATTATTGTACACTTTCAAAATGACATATCACATTGAAAGTGTACAAAAATATATCTAGGATGAAAGTTATTTGAAATTATTTAAATTTTGTAAGCAAAATTGATTTTGGTTTTTATCGCTCTGGATTGATCAGTGTATTTTTGTTTCAGATATATTTTATGGAAAAAAAATGTAAAGGATACAGTTAATAAAATATGGAAATATAATTAATAAACTTTTCTAACTTGCTTTCCAGATATAATGGTCACTATTTCTTGACTACTTTGATTTATTCTGTTCTTCTTGGCTTCCTCGGAATGGATCGGTTTTGTTTAGGACACACAGGTATAGACTAAATTTCTTAGCACTTTCATACATATTACTGTATTGAAAGAAAGTGATTATTTGTTAGTACTAACTGAAATATTTAATGAATAGTTAAATAATAAAAATATCAAATTTATTTTGCCTTTTTATGCTAAAAGTCTAATTTATAAATCTTCTAATCCCATTAAAAGATGAAAGATTGACAAACAAAGAAAAATACATTTTAAAAGAATTTGTACAAATTTAAGTTGGTTATTTTTATATTTTCCTTGAGAAAATTAAAAAATACCAATGGAATTTTTAATGTTTTGTCATGCATTATTCAGAAACTGTTGAAGAATTGTAACAATGCACACCCTACTTATTTGTAATTTTACTGCAACCAAAAATCTTATCTTTTTTTATTAGATATTTAAAATTAATTCGGTACAACCTGCTTCATGGTTGGTGACTAAACAGGTTCCCCCACTAAACCAGTAGTGAAAAAAAAAAAAGAAGACCTATTAAAGAGCAGATAAACTCCTTAGATCAAACAACCATCTTACTCCAACCACTGGCCAAGCGTGGTCCATACAGCTACACACCTGAAGATCTGACTAAAACCAAACATAAACAGCCCTCAATTGCCAGTATCTCCAAAATTACCACCCAAAGCAGCAGGATGAAGGAGCAAAAGATGTTAAGAATAACTGGGTAGAAACAGGCTGCCATTGAAAATTGGGACCTACAATGCAAGGATACTCATCAGATCACCACATTAAAGACAGAGAAAATGACCTTTCTTGGATCAAGTTCAACATTATTGGAATTAGTGAGATGAGAAGAAAGGCAGAGTGCATCACACTTTGTGACAGCAGCCACAATCTACAGTCATAACACAGCAGTTTCTGATACAGTGGCACAACTCACCATCATGATCAGCAGCAAGTACCATCTTAATATCATTCAAGTTTATTTACCAACAAATATCCATGCAGACAGAAGGTGGAAAAAGCCTACAAAGACATTGACAGCCTCCTGAACAGCAGTAAAACCCACTTTAACATCATGAAAGAGTAGAATGCAGAAGTTGCAGTGGAAATACTAATAATGAAATTGACTACATGCTGACAGACAAACCCCCAGACCTTCACTGATGCCTCAGTCATCAACAGTTTCAATATGGATAGTGACCACCAGCTACTGCACTTCCTTGACCATCAGCACAAAACTGGAGTGAACCAGATTTGCCAAAAACATAAAAAACACACTTCATAGTACTATCTGATAAAACCAAAGAATTTCAGCTACTACTAACTAATAAGTTCAAGGTACTGGAGCAACACCAGTCAGAAGACTTCAGCTGTTTGAATCAGCATTATCACCAGCATAATGGAGACAGCAGTAACAATCATCAGGAGTAAACTAAAGAGGACAAGTTTTCAAAAGAGACCAAACAACTAAGAGAAAAGAGAGTCAGGACAGACATTCAGAATGCTAAATACTCTGAAATCTGCAAGACATCACATGAATGAAGACATCAGACATTATAGTGAATAGCAGCAGCTCAAAGCCCTGAATAAAAAAAATAATGGAATGGATTGAATTCAATCAAGAGGAAGCAGTGTTTAGGCAAATATAAAATCCTCATCTTGGAAGAGAAAGGTACACACTCATCACTGACCATAACAAGCTTATAAAACAGTGCAAAGAATTCTACAGGAAACTATACAGCATAGGACGGGCCCCAAGACCAGCCATTTTCTAGTAACAAAACCCCAACAACAACCATACAACCTCTTCTTACAATTCCATCAGAGACAAGAGCAAACATTAAAAGATTAAGAGAGAGAAAAGGCACCAGACAAAGACAACATCACTGCAGGTATATTCCAGGATAGTGGAGAGCCCATTGTCATGGTACTCAACAAGCTCTTCAACAGGTGACTAGAAGAAGGCTGAATTCCTGTTAGCTGGAATAATGTTGTAAAAGTAGATAAAGCAGACACCAGAAATTACTGCCTAATCAACCTCCTACTCACCATTTACAAGGTGTTTTCATTCATCCTACTAAGAAGGTTGCTCAGTACATTAGAATTGCATCAACCATCTTCTTCAACTTGGAGAACAAGGATATTAACATATATGATGAACTCCTCTGCCACCTAATAGCTCACACATCACAAGAATTGGCAGAGACGCTTAATTCTATCTACACTGTGAGCCAACCAATAGTCCTTAACATGCATCTTGGTTAAACCAAGGTTATGTTTAATAGTCATACTAAACTATCACCAGTTATTGTAGATGCAAAGACCATCAAGGAAGTAGACAGTCATGTGTACTTTGGAAAGAAGATTACAGGAGATGGTGCCCTACTTCTGGAGGCCAAAAGGATTTTAGAAAATTCTATAGCATCAAGAAAAGTCCCAAGTTAACAAGTTGTTTAATGAATATGTTCTACCAATGAAGATTTATGGAAGTGAGACATGGGCACTCAAGAACCACTAACTGCAGAGACTCTTGCAGTGTCGCTATGTAAAATTATGTGGCAGGAAGAGCAACACCTAGGTTTGACAAACATAGATGAGGTAGTCATGTTTTGTCTCGGACAACAGATTAAAGTGGTAGAGTGTACACCAAGGAAGTGGAAAAGAACTAGATTGCAGCCAAAGGCAAGATTATGCAATGATCTGACCCAATACCTAGGCCCCCACATGGCAAGAGAACCAAAGAGAAGACCCTAGATTTGGTTAATCTGATAGGAAAGCAATAAAAAAAATCTTAAAAATGCAGTTTATGTCTATATACATTGGAATTGGTCATTTTAAAAAATAATTTTCACTCATTTATAGTCATTATTCATCAATAGAACATATACAAATTTCTTTGAATAAGATCAGAAAAAAAAATAATGCTTATGGATGAATTTGCAGGAAAAAAAAATCAATTTTATGATTAGTGTTTTTCTGGAAAAAAATATTTGACTGACCCAGTAAGAAGTTATATTGCATAATTTTTCATAGAGAATATATAAATATTTAGTATTTGCCATTTTCTATACTCTTATTCACTGTTTTCATTTCAGGAACAGCAGTTGGAAAATTATTGACTCTTGGAGGGGTTGGCATCTGGTGGATTGTAGATGTCATCCTTCTGGTAACTGGATCTCTAAAACCTGAGGATGGAAGCAATTGGGTCCCATATTACTGAAATATCCACATTTGATATGTTAAATTCCTTTAGAAATAACTAATATTTAAATGTAATAAAGAAAATTGTTTATTTTGTGTACAATGTTACTTGGTTTTTGTAATTTCAAACAAATAATTTCAACCAAGTTTGCAGTATGGATATTCTTTAATATACCTCTTAGCCTTGTATAAAAGTACTTTGTAAGACTGCATATCCATAAACTATCAAAAAACATAATTCACAAGATTATAATGAGTGATTTTGGAAAACAATGATTGACATTTCATTATCCTGCCCACCACAAGGTAATGGTGTAAAATGTTTTGAATCATGGAATTTTTTTTATTTTCATTATTTGAGTAAAATAATGGCATAATATATACTTTGAAGAAATAAAAAATCTGTTCTTGATTCTCCAAGCAACTATACATTATATTATTGGGCTTGGTCCAGTCTGCCTTGGAAAAGGTGTATTTAAAAAGAATGTTGAGTAAATTTAGTTCATAATCAATATTTACATAATTATAATTTGTATTTCATCTTTATTGGTAGAAAAGGCTGAGTTGCTTTGTATTTTTGCAGAAATGCAATCAAAGTTTTTTTTTACATTTCACAGTGAAGTTATTTTATACATTACAGTACTTGATATTTTCTGTTGTCTGGTTAATTTGATGTTGCTTTTGTAGAGGGGAAACTCTGTTGTTTAGTTGTTGGCTGATACCTATATATGACTTCTTGCATTTGAGTGCATAAATCACATTTTTGGTGTTGCAGTTTAAATTATTTATTTATTATGAATGTTGTTTTGTGTAGGAGTTTCCTTCTATAATGATGTCACAAACCCCACATCTTTTTTTGTTGCATTTCTGACTCCATTGTGTGTTGGTTAAATTTGGATGAGGTTAATGTGTTTCAGGTTTTTAGATTGGCATTTGCTTTTAATTATTCTAGTTGCTTTTAGTATATTTTTCAGTTTGTCATCCTTGCTAAGTAGGTCTAGATTGTTTGTAATTTCTGTGAATAGTTCTGGATTGTTTTAGTTGTATGTTGTGACATATACTAGAGTTTGTTCGACTTTAAGTTTCTTTGGATTTTGTAGTTGGTCTAAAGGAATTTTTTTTTTGCGAGTTCAAAACCTTTGTTTATTAGTGTTGTAGGGTAGCCTCGTTTTTTTTAGAGTTCTATGTTGTTCATCTAGGAGGTGTTTGTCAGTCACTATAGTATAAATCCTACGTGCTAGAGAATATGGGATGGATTTCAGGCAGCTTTTTGATTGAAATGAAGATATTGTTGGGTGTCTGTAGGTTTGTGGTAGATATCCGTGATTATATGGTTGTTTTTATTTTTAATGAATATATATATATATAAACACACACACCATTAGTAACAGCCATCAGAACACAGATTTCAAGTCATAAGATATGAGCTTTTAAAGTTTTTAACATTTTTCAATTTTCCAGTGAAAATCTGCCAATTATGGATTTTAATTTTTTTTTTTTTTTATAATTTCTTTTACCTAAAATTTTGTACCTGACCAATCATGGGAATGTAGAATCAAAAAAGTTTGGGTAATGAAGGTCATGGTTGCATGGAAAATTGTTTAAATTGTGATTTACTTTCCAAACCAGCAAAATAATAAAATGTAGTGCAATGATAATGTTTAAAGTTACCAGGAACAAAGAACATATTTTTTTTTTTTTACTTTTAGCATAAACTTACAAATTAAAATTGATGTACTTATGTTATTCAACTAATGTTTTCTCCCACTGAACATATTGCAAACAAATATTTTAATTCATAGAAAATTGAGACCAGCTGTAATAAATTATTTCTTTAGTGTTATCTGACTATAACATTTTATTTTAATAGTCAGTTGTTCAGTAATATTTTTATTTTTCAAATCAAATAGGAAATGTTTTCTGTAAGTGAAAATTTTTCACTTGGCATACATTGAGTGATAAAAAAAAATATCCAAGGTGGCAAATATTTGCCTTGAGAGGGATTTTCTTATGTATGTACCTGTGCCAACAACAGATGAATCTCAGACTGAAATATATGATCACAATTCAGTATTCTGTTGCATGTGGTGTCATAAAAAAAGGTTGTAAAATTGTTGCAATTCCTGACTGCATCCAGTAAATTACAATGCATTGTCCTGTCATTGTATATTGAGAAATTTTTCCCCTTTCAGAAAGAAAAAAACCCAAAAAGAACCTTAATCTATAAATTACCTCAAATCCACCACGTGGATTCAAAATCGAAACTTGTATACCTACAATTTTTACCATCATGCTGATTTAAATATTTGCATCAAAAGAACATTGTTGACACACATTTGGCAAAAGTTATTCTTTATTCTGTCCAGACAATGATCATAAAGATTTCCTTATTTAACTGTCCATTTGTGAGGTCCTTAAATCAATATAATATGATGATCAAAACAAAAGAGAGTTTTTGTGCTACACATGCTTATTGATATGGTGAAATTGAGAGAAAGAAAATGACAGAGATGCATAATCAAATGTCTAAAACATTTTCTCAACTCTTATACATTGTCTCTGAGAAATTTTACAAGTGATCTTTTCTGCCAGAAATTTTGGATGATGTCAAGACTATTGAAGTATAATTGCAACGTTTCAGTTGAGGAGTACAAAAAGATTTTTTGCCACTTATATTTATGAACTGACTTTGTACTCATACATGCCTAAGTAAAATACCTCAGAGTTAAAATATTGCTTTTCTAATGCATCATTCTTGGAGATTTTGCCGAGAACTGTCAATTTCATGGTGAAATCCAGGAGTACCATTGGTAAAAAGAAAGCTACATTTCCATTGCAATGCATTTTGAACAGGACCAAATTCATAATAAATTTTGTTTAACACAACTAACTTAATCATATGCAATAACTCTTCTCCATCAACTAGTGTTTTGGAAAAACCAACATTGTATATCAGTTTAAATGTTCTTTGGGAGATTGTATTACTGACAAAAAAGGAAGTACATATGTTGATTATCAAGATGTCTTATACTTCATTTATTGGATACAAGTTCTATTGCACAACATCTAAAAACACATTCCTGACCACCTTCCTAATACAGGAAAATACTTGTTGACAACACCATGAAAATAATAAACAAAAACTTCAAATTCTCAAGGCCTTCTATATCAAAATCAACCAACCAACCAACCCTCAACAAAATTTATTACAAACATAGCAACATATTGAAGTACATATAACATTTAATACCATTTTACATTTGTATGAATTTCTAGTCTTATAATTAAATGCTTGTTTTGCAAAAATTCCATAACTACAACAGATAAAATTTTAAAATAACTATAGCAGCACGTGTGTTTTTTCTTTTTAAATTACCATCACAAGGGAATGCAGATTTTATTATAGGTACAATAAGTTTGTCTTTATAATTTCTCCCTGAAGATGATCTTGGAAAAGATCAAAAGTACTTGGGTCGAAAAAAACCCCAAAAAACTATAGCCCCTTCCTTGATGAATTTCATCTTGATATCAAGAAACTGATTAGACAACTGGAAAGATTGAGTATAAAAATAAGTAGACACAATGTCTATATTATTCAGTAGAACATGTTTGAATGAAGATATGCTGCCTATATATATATATATATGTGTGTGTGTGTGTGTACACACAAAAAAGCAAAATAAATACATTTGTTTTATCTTACTTGGAATATTCCTTAGTAACTTAAAGTAAAATTTAATTGGACATATTTTTTGAACAAGTCTAAGAACTTGAAATTTTGGGAAATATAATTTCTTCAGTATATTTGATAGAAAAAATACGAAGTCAAATTACTTTTGATGATGCCATAGCCTGGATGTTTTGAGATGGAATTACTCTTTCTTTAAGACATACATTTTAGTTAAGAACGGAAAATATAACAGTGAGAGAAAAGATTTGTAAAGTTTGATATAAGTCATTAGATATTACTTAAGTTATATAATACATCAAATGTATTTGGAAGTTTTTTATGTTTAACACTTTGCAGTTGGAATGCTGGGCAGCACTATTTATCATGACACTGGCAGAATTTCAAGCCAGCAGGTGAGAAACTGACTCCATGAAAGAACAGAATAATATTTGAAAAAAATATAGACTCATATGTGAAAACTTAAAAATACAATTTAACTAATAATGCTATCATTTTTGATAAACTAATACATTCAGAATCAATTAAAAAAGAATGTACTGGAAAGAGTTCAGAATAAGTGTGGTGAAAATTTTTCAAGTGAAGTTTTAATATTGCACATATTTTTGTAAACAAATCTGGTAGTTAAAAAAAAAAAAAAACGTTCATAACATGAGAAAGCTCTCATTCCAATCAATGAGAATAAATGAAATTCTCATTTGCTTTGGAATCTAATTTATAATTTTGCTAGGTTTAAATTTAATAAAGAATATAATGAATGTTTAACACCATGAAACTTGAGCCATATTACAGAGAATAGTTTTCAGTCATTTTTGTTTTGTGGTGAAAAAAATGATTTTAAGGTGGAGTGAATCTATGCCTTCCACTGACAATTCGCATCAAAGGTGAATGTTCTGTTGTTGTATCAGGTAACTCTCCAGTGATAGAATCTGTACTTTCATCCATTTGGTTAGCTCCTTCTCCAACTCGCATATGTGCAATCTGACGCAACAGAGCTTTCCCTTCTTCTTTTGTCTAAACAGAAAGTGGAAATATATAAAGATAAGTTTCATCATGAAATCAAAAATTTGAATAAAAGCAAGATGTTTTATACACAAATATAGTGTGATACTATGATTGAACCCCCACATAGAAGAGGAAAGTGCAAATTTATCTCAATACAAGTGCTTCTGTTTTATAGTCAATGGGTAAGTATAGACTATTAAGCAGCATCCACTTGAGTGAAAGGGAATGGAAGAGGCCAAGTGACAACAAGCCAGACAAAGAGTTTGCAGTTTCTGGTGTATGTTAAAGGTCATGATATATATGTGTAGGTAGGTACCTCCACTAATTTGCTTAAAAAAAAAAGCATACCATAATGAATAAAGGCCCCAAAGTTAATAAAAACAAAGTTTTATTATCAAAATGCTTATGTTATTATTAAGCCCAAAGTATTTTTTATTATTTTATTAAATTTTGAATCCTTTCTTACATGTTAAAAATCTTGTTTTTCTTGTGTCAGTGGGGATTGGGGTGTGCAAAGATAAGTTATAGGATAGTTTAGCATCTTGTGGTAAAAACTTGATTTGGAAATTCTTGCAAAAATCAAATAATTGTTGAATTTTAATGAAATCTTCAGGACTTATTCACAATTGAATGAATTTTTTTTTTTTAACATCTGTTACCCCATTCGCACCCTTTAATTAATTTTATGAAATTTTGGGAACTTAAAATTACATCCCCTTCATATTTAGTTAAAAGCAGGACTACTTGGAATTTACATCAATTTTCTTTTTGTCAAACAGAAACATTTATCAAAAATCTGTTCTGAATCATAAAATAAAAACTGCGATAAAACTATGACATTATTTAATTAGAAAAGCTTTTAATTGCTTTTATAAATAAGATATATTAAGGACATTATTGTCTAAAGAAAAATCTTTTTTGATGAATAAATTTTTACAAGAATTGTCTCTTTTTTTAAAAAAAAAAACCTAGACAAGCTGTATAATACCTTACATTCAATCAAGCCTACATGTGCAGAATCTGAAAGGGCATTTTTAGCAGCAGGGTTATACCTCACAAAATTGTGATCAAATCTTTCTGAAAACCTGTAACAGAATTAAGATTTGAAATGGAAAATGGATCCCTGTATGCATGTCAGTGTGCAAATGACTACTGGCTCCATCTCTTAGATAGTATCGAAGAAGCTTTGGTCAATGGCAACATCTGGAATATGTAGGAGAGAATTAAACAAGCAACTGGCAAACTAACAAAGAATTCTGAACCACTAAAATCAATCGATATGGAAATTAAGTACAGAAAAAGACAAATGGGACGATGTATAGTGCACTACCTAGGACTCAAGAGAAAATTCCATGGCTAACGTGCTTGATGATATTGATGGTCCACCATTGCTGATAGAAGCTGAACTCTGAGCCTACAAAGGAAGAGTTTAGCAAAGCTATTGATGCTATAGCCTGTGGGAAAGCACTGGGTGAAGATGGCATACCACAAAAGGTCAATATGAATTTCTACATCCACATAAAATAAAACACACACACATATATATATATATATATATATATATATATATATATAAACAATATGCATAATAAATAACTAGCCACTTGTATTTGAGGATTCCCATCTATTAAGGCAGCTAGCCAATCCCTATTGCAGACACTCACTCAGTCACATTTGTGTTTGTTCAACACCCACAGAGACAAGCTGTGGTTTATACTGCAACTATGCTGAGCAAACCTTAGTTACAGCTTCTGGGAGAGAGAGCATGTTATCTAGCATGATCAACAATCTGAACAAGGCCAGCACACTCAAACCTGCGGTCTCAATGATTTGTGACTTTGTGCTAGCACAGCTATCAAGGGTTCCTTCTACCCAATTTCACTCAACCTGTGGTATGGTTTTATATACACACACACACACACACACACACACACACATATATATATATATATTCAGGCATCTCTGATTGAATAAATTACAGACATTTTGTCCACTAATTTTTAACAAAATCCATTCATACTCACAAATAACCTTCCGTATATTGATGTTAAAGGATGAGAGAAATGTGCTATAACTGTTTAAATTTCTTTCATTTTCATTTCTCAAGTACTTTCAATCTTCTTCCAAGATCATTTTCAGGAGTGCAACTAGTACAAAACTATATGTTGTTCAGGGGTACAGGTATTTATACAAAGCTGTGTATTGCTATCCATTACTGTAATTTTTCATTATGCTTTTTAATGCAAATAGTTGACAATGTTCCGAGTGTTTGTTAGAACGTTAAAAAAAATTATCCATTATGGAAGTTTTCCTGTGTTATAATGTAGTATTCATAGTTAATTCTCTTCAATGTTGGCATTAATTTTTTAATATAAATTGCTTCTAAGATATGTAGCTTGAATTCATTATTTTCTTGTTTTAGGATAGTTGTGTTGTGTTGTTGATCAGTAATTTTTTATATTGTGAATGTGGACAGGAATACTATTTACATTATTCGGACTATTGTCCTCATCTTTGTTGCCATATTTATCACAACGTTTCAGCCATTGTACACTCCGGCCTTATTCAGGTGGTTGGAATATCAAACTGAACCCTTTATTTCGCTCACTGGAGTAGACTGTTGTAGTTCCACAAGCCATGTCTAATGTATGTCAGTTATTAACCAGGTATTGAACTTTGGGTCCTGTCACTGGACACAGTTAGATCCAGTGACAGGATCAAAAGAGGGTGAGTTCATTACCTGATTAAGGCAGTGGAGAACTTGGAGAGGGGAATTAACAGAAGATAACTGATAACTGACATCCATTAAACATGGCATGTGGAACTAGAACAGTCTCATCTGACAGTATCTGTCAATATTTCTGAGATGAGGTATTATGTACGCTATTTACATTGGTCAGAATATGGTCTTCATCTTTGTTGCCATATTTATTACAACGTTTCGGTCATTGTACGCTCCAACATTTTTCAGGTGGTTGGAATGTTGAACTGAACACTTTATTTCACTCACTGGGGTAGACTGTTCTAGTTCCACATACCATGTCTAATAGATGTAAGTTATCAGTTATGTCCTGATAATTCCCCTCTCCAAGTTCTCCACTGCCTTAATCAGGTATTGAACACACACTCTTTGGGTCCTGTCACTGGATCTAATTAATGCCTTTATCCACTGTCCCAGTGTGTGAAATAAAGGGTTCAGTTTGACATTCCAACCACCTGAAGAAGGCCAGAGCATACAACGGCCGAAATGTTGTGATAAATATGGCAACAAAGATGAGGACAATAGTCCAAATAATGTAAATAGTGTACATCTCAGAAATATAGACAGATACTGTGGACTGTTGTAGATGTCTCGCAATGGACATGTGTATTGTAAGATGTCCTGTTAGTGTAGTTGTATAACTATATATATATATATATATATATATATGTGTGTGTGTGTTTTTTTTTTGTCAGAGATACATTCTACCAAGGGACATTTAAATTGGTATATAATTGGTTTTACATAATATATCAGTTAGTGGGGAGGAGTTATTGCAAATAATTAAATTCATGGAAGATATCTTAGTATGAATGAAATTCTTTGATTTTTTTTCAACCTGTTTGTAGTTAGCATGCATCTGGCTACAATATAGTAGTTTGATATATTTAGTGTCCTTTGAGGAAGTATTATATTCTATTTGACGTGTGTTGAGGTTTTTTTATATATCGTCTTATTTGTTCATGTACAGTGTGGTTTGGGAAGTCATCATTAATGAGAGTCTGCTTAATATGCTTTAGTTCAGTATAGAAACTCTTTTTTTTAGAGGAATTAATTTGTGCTCACTTAATTAAATTCTGTATAAGTGCTATTTTGTAGTAATCAGGACATTCACTTATAGTTGAAAGTGCAAGAGTTTTTGCTGGTTGGTTTTTTATATGAAGAGGTAGTAAATGTGTTGCTATTTGTGTAAAAAAAGGATTTTATTATCTTTGGATACAAACTTGAGGACAAAAAATTTTTTGAAACACACACACACTTCACATTTTTAAAAAAAATAAGGATATATCTAAATAAAATATGGAGGGTTTCTTGTGGTACTAAATCTATTTTTTCAGGTTCATGAAGTTAAATGAAGGTTGGAACTTGAACTGAACCTATTGAAATTGTTGCACAAATACGTTATTTATGTGATCATAAATTTGGGAAATGAAAATAAAGCAAATTTAAACAGTGATAGCACATTTTAAAATTTTCAATATCAATACATGGAAGGTTAGAAGCATGAACAGTTTGTTCCCCAGACCCTGTAATTTATTCAATCAAACATATAATATATTTATATATATATATATATATATATATATATTATATATATATATATATATATCATGGCACAAACACACACACACACACAATATACATATTATATCTATGGATGCAGATTTCTGTGTGTATGTCTATTTTGCATGTCCACATTTCTGGATTTTTTAGATGAAATTTTGCATACATATTGTAAATTTTACAAGGTTTATTTTAAATCCCCAGCCCCAGGTTTGGCAGAGTTTTCAATGAAATTGACAAGGCTACTACTTTTTGCAAAAGTCATGGCAAGGTTACATGCAAAAAAATTGCTGGATGAGCTGAAACTTAATGAAAAAAAAAAGCTCATGTTACAAGGTTTTTTTTAAAGTGGTTGATAGTTTTCCTGCGAAATTGATTACACACAAAAAAATTTAAGAAACTAAAAAAAAAAAAAACAAGCAAAACTATTTAAAAAAAAATAAACATTTTTTTTTTTTTATTTAAAAAAATAAAAATAAATAAAAACAAGCAAAATAATTTAACCCAAATAAATAAACGACTTCCGGCAAAATATATAAAACAGACTACCCACAAAAATAACCCATATATATATAAATAGCCGAGAAAAAATTTTTTTCTATTTAAACAATTGCATCTAGCATGAACAGACTGTCGCCTCTAAGTGTTGACTTCTATGTTTTTTTTATATATATATATATATATA